ATAGAAAAGGCATAAATGATACGATAGTTGGAAAGTAACTGAAGCAGGCACACTAGAGTAGGATAAATAACATTGCAGATTCTTTGGAGTTTATCAAGAATCTCTAAATACATAGCAGGAGAACCAGACCAGATGTGGCAGTAGTATTCAAAGGAAGGATGAATGTAAGATTCTGACGAGAGAAAAAATGTGTAGCACGACACAGTAAACCAATTTTCCAAGCAATAGATTCAAAATAATATTTCCACTTCAATGTCAGTATATTACAAGATAACCAAAAATATCATTTCCGTTTTGAAATTATTTAAAAAAAGATATACAGCAAATTTGACATACCGATGGAATCCCATTGGCACGCAGAATCTTTTACCAACGTGCCTCCAACGGCGAAATACGCTACTGTTTAAATCAGGTGTCGTTTGAATGCCTTCCGCAAGTCTGTTTCATTTGCGAATAATTTCCCACGGAGGTGATTGTCCAGGAAATAGAAGAGTTGGTAATTTGTTGGTGCAAGGTCCGAGAAGTAAATAACCCCAAGCTAAGTCGCCGTAAGTTATCCCATGCCACCCGCCTAGCCTTGTCATGAAAGAGTAGTACACTCTTGCGATGAACCAATGCCAGCTTCTTCTGCTTAAATGCCTTTTGCACACCTTCCAACTGCTGCAAGTACAGGTCCGCAGTGATGGTTTGTCCCATTGGTAGAAGCATTTGTCGACTAGTCCACCAGATACAGAGCATTATGTTGCTTACGTATAGAGGTTGTCTTGTGGTGTGAGGCACAGAGTTTCGTGGTCCCAACCAATATCTGGTACGCTTGGGAGTGTAATACCGGACCTACATTTCATCACTGGAGAGAAGTTCCGGGAAAGCAACGAGAATCATGTTGTCACTCGTTGTTGCATGTTGGCTTCAGAGAATGTGTGGGGTACCTACTTGCTCAACTTGTAAGCAGTCACTAAGTGGTTCAGGTGATGTCTGACGGTTTCATCAGAAACCTGGAAGCGTTCGACAAGCTCACCACATGTTTGGCTGTTGCCCTTTTTTATGGATGTCTTCCGGGGCTTCATCATCCCGGGACCTGTGGCCGGCCACTACTGGGTTCATCCCAAAGGGACAGATCTTCTGACCTGAACTTCTGGAATCAATCATTATCCCCGAAGGCTTGACGTATTCGGCGACTTGATGTGACTGAGTACAAGCCCACCTGAATATCATAAAGCAGACGACACCAAACGATCTGCTTCGACACCGCCATGTTTCCGTTGTCGTTGTTCGAGCTATGACTGATATGTTTACGCATATGCATTGGTCACGAGCAATGCTCTCACCCCAAGCCTACCGCTTTCGCGACACGTGACACTCTCGTTTGCGTATCTGTTGTAGCATGTCTATAAGATAATGAGTATGTCCCCATTCATAAAAATACAGTATTAAATACTGTATGTTGATCTGCAGTTGGAGATTCGTCTCCAGCTGTGCTGAGAGGATCCACAGACGAGGCCATGTTGAAGAGCAGCGTCTCGTCTCGGGAAACAGCTACCGTTTTGTCCGTTTAGTTTTGGTTTTTAGGGTGCACTCCTCGGTGCCATATAGTAAAGTTAACTACATGTACTTTGTTTTCTGGGAGGGGGGTCGATGTTTTAGATTTAACGAAAGATTTCTGTCTGGGAAAGTGATTCAAAGCCAAGTGAACCTATCTTTTGCCAAGCAAACTCGACGGCCGATTTCTTGCTCACAGTGACCATCTGCTGTTACCAAGGGACCTAGATAACTGAAGCTGTTCACTTGGTTAATTTCCTGATTATCACAAGATGGCGTTTTGGTTCAGGGACTGTTTTTGAGATGACAATAGATTTAGTTTTCTACGGGCTGATTTTTTGCACTAGCTTCTCTAGTTAGGTCAAGAAGCTTCTGAAGACGTTCTTCCGAATCAACTATATCGTCGACAGTGGTTATTATTCACAACACAACCGTTGATACGAATATAATATATACAAATATATAGTTAATATGTGGTATCAGTTTATTCCTTTATAACAGCAAAAAACTAAACCCATCTTTATTTTCAGTAGAATTTTATATTAATATATGTAGGTCCACTTTTTCGATAAAAAAACAGCATAGCATGTTGAAAAAGGCCCCACATTTGAAAAATTAAGGTTTTATCATTGATATATTTATGTCATTATTAAGAATAAATGCCAAAATATTTTTGATTATTTTTTTAATTTCTTTAATCCTTTCTAGCACGTACGAAATTTTGGTTAAGAATTTTGTTTATTTAATGCCAGTAGTTCACCAAAGATTACTATGTGATATTTATCACTTTTTTGCTATAAAAAAACAGATTTTTTTTAAAATCAAATAACCATCGGTTTTTAATGAGATTTCCAGAATTTAAACATATTATGAATGATTATTTTTGAAATATACTTTTACAAAATCTTGATAAAAATATTTTTTACAGCTGTTACTCCATTTTATAAAATTTCGAGAAATTAAAAATGTAATCAAACCAAGACATTATTTGATTAGGAAAGCTTTTAATTGCTTTTTTAAATAAGATATATTAAAAACACTATTGTCTTTAGAAAAAAAATTTTCGATGAATAATGAATTCGTACAAGAATTATTTTCAGCTTATTTTAATTTTAATTATAATAATTTATAAAGTTTTAAATCTTTTAAAATTCTGTATTAATTTCTCCCTTTCAGATAATATTATTATTAAGTGAAAATTATATTTTTACTATTCATAAATGGAAAAGCTTAATACAAGTCATCAAGCACCAAGATTTTAAAAAGAATTTTCAATTTGTTTGTTAGTGTATGAACGTTCAGATTTTTGTAAGTACAGTCGACCATACGCGACATTATCAGAAAATAAGAGAGATAGCTATATTAAATTTGAAGCCGAAATTTCTAAAATTCCATAAAATATTAGATTACGGAGAATATTTTCCTAAATTTTTAAGATTACTGAATATGTAAAAATTATATAAAAAATGTGCTTAGGCCACTTTTTTTAAATTATGTTTTTCAGATAAAGTCTCCATAGAACAACATTAGTACTGCTATCATCTCTTCAAACACATAAACACGACTACTGTCGGTTAAAAACACAGCTACTGTTTCCTTAAAAAATTATTTCTGCGATACTTTAAACTTAAAGCAAATATTTGTTTCAAATCAGATTAATTATACTTTAAATCAGCTTACATTCCTTAAACAAAGATTAAGAAAAGTATATTTTGTTTTTGTAAAATTTTTAAAACCAAGGACTAACTACAAATATCTAAAAAAAAAAAAAAGACGACTTTGATGATATCATTTAATCTTACCTCCTAAAAGTTCAGTGATAATTCTTCTGTCGCCACTTAATCTGATGACAATTTGATAGGTCCATTCTTTCCGTAGAAAAAATTATTTTTATTTCATGGGTGACTTTCGCTGAATCTCGCAATTAATTTCGATTATTATCAAATTTATTCCCAAGTTATAAAATTTGTTATCGTACAAAATAATTCGTCGTGAAAAGTCACGTAAAACATTGCCGAAAACAATTGCACTAATGATAACTTGGGAATCCAAAATTTCTGTAACATGAGCTATTGAAAGTTAGAGAGTTGTGTCCCTTTAAGTGAAAAGGTGTGACACATTGACATTCGCATTTCTTATATAGATAATAACAATATTTTTTCCCATAATTTGGACAAATTAAGATTATCAGTCTTCATACAAGTGTAACAAGAAATATAAGAATAATAAAAATAATAATCCCAAATTAATAATTCTACGAATTATGTTCTTATTTTCGAATAACCTAAGACCTCTTGTTATTTCTATAATCAAACTACTAATGAACGTATCAGTAGTTTGATTATAGAAATAACAAGATAAATAAGACAAAGTATTAATAATAAGGTCAATATTTTATCTAAGACATTCGGACAATTTCATAATAATATGCGTAGAGCCTCAAGATCTTCATGTAATCAAAAAAGCGCAAAAAATGATTTTCTTTTTTGTTAATCGCTAATCTTTAGATTTCCTTCTCTTTCATGATGCTTGCCTCTAAGGAACAGGAAGTTGTAAAGGGCTAAGTGCTGAGAGAACCCGGTACGTAAAGAACAAAACTACTTATAAATCATTTTTATTTCGTAATATTCCAACAAGAGCAATGCCAAAGAGTCACTATTCTACCAACTGAATAAAAAATACGATCCCGCTCTGAAAATACCGATGGTAAATGAAAGAACAAATCTGTAGCGAAAATATTTCAACACGAATAGATATCCCTTTTATAACATATTAATCAAACTTGTGTCGTCTTGGATTTCTATGCGAACTCGAACACCGATCGCCTGTATGAGACATATAGCAGCAATGACTCTAGCTTCAGCCTAAAGTATTATAAATCAAGTTACACACTTTTTAACTGATATAATCAATCGTATTAATAACACTTTATGCTTGCCATCATTGTAAATAGCTATGGTCATAATGCATCGATCAAAAGAACGCTGGAAATGACAGGAGAAATGAAATAGGCATTTTCTTAATACCTCAGTGTTATCAAATGATTTTCCCATAAGCACTTTATTTCCGATTATTCTATTAGTATTCTGTATTACTCCGAGGACCAGGTTATAAATTAGTCACAAAAGAAAAACGATCCAAAACAGTTTGTAGAAAAGTATTTCATTACTGTTATCTAGGCCTAATGGCTTACGGCAATATCACATTGACAACTCCGATTCTCATATGCTTGCCGAAGCAACATTGATCCTGGTCAGTAGCTAGATGGATAGCTGCTTGCTAATACCAGGTGCCGTAAGCTTGGGTGTGCAGGTGGCATAGAGGGCCATATCACACGGAAACATCAATTTTCGCGTGATCACCGAAGTTAAGCAACATCGAATCTGGTCGGTATCTATATGGGTGATTGCTTGAAAATATCGAGTGCTGTTAGCTTTTGATGTGCCGGTGGTATAAAGGGCTTACGGTCATATCACACTGGAGCCACGATTCTCGTATGATCACCGAAGTTAAGCAACATTGAACCTGGTCAGTACCTAGACGGGTGATTGATTGGGAATACCAGGTGTTGTAAGCTTTTGATGTGCAGGTGGTATAAAGAGCTTGCAGCCATGTCACAGTGAAACTACGGTTCCCGTACGATCACCGAAGTTAAGCAACGTCGAACCTTGTTACTAGCAAATTGGGTGACTGCTTGGGAATAGCTGGTGCTGTAAGCATGGATGTGCAGGTGGTATAAAGTGGCATATCACACGTAAACGCGAATTCTCGTACGATCACAGAGGTTAAGCAACGTGGAACCTGATCAGTATCTATATGGGTGATTGCTTGGAAATACCAAGTGCTCTTTGCTTTTGATGTGCGGGTGGTATAAAGTGGTATCACATTGGAACCACGATTCTCGTATGATCACAGAAGTTAAGCAACATCGAACCTGGTCAGTACTTATATGGATGATTGCTTGGGAATACTAGGTGCTGTAATCTCTTGATGTGCCAGTGGTATAAAGGGCTTACGGCCATATCACAGTGAAACCACGGTTCCCGTACGATCACCGAAGTTAAGCAACGTCGATCCTGACCAGTAGCTTGATGGGTGACCACTTGAAACTACGAGGTGTTATAAGCTTGGATGTGAGAATAATATAAAGAGTTTACAGCCATATCTGGTTGAATCAGCGGTTTTCGTACGATCGCCGAAGTTAAGCAATGTCGAGTCTGGTCTGTGTTTAGATGGGCAAGCGCTTGGGAATAAGATTTCGTGTAAGATTGGATGTGCGGGTGTTATAAAGAGCTTATGATCATACCACGTTGAATGACCAGTTCTCGTACGATCACCAAAGTTAAGCAACGTCCTGCCAGGTCAGTACTTCGAGATGCGATCACTTAGAAATATCAGGTGTGCATGCTTGACTTGTGCGAGATGATATAATGGATAACCTGGAGAGGCGAGTTCTAATTCCAGTTGGGTTCGTCATATTCACTTACGCGCAAATACCCTTGGGAAACATATCAATCCACTTCTTCGGTCTAAATATGGGCTAATTAATAAGACTTGTATCAGTAAATTATTACTAACCGCCCCCCCAAATCTAAATATATTTTGTGGCTTTAAATAACCCACAAAAGGTTGATAAAATTTAAAAAAACAAATTTATCAATCAAACCTATGCCTTAATAAATGGCAGTATAAATGAAATTGGCATTTTCTCCAGATCCCTCTGTTAATAAAATATTTTCACGCATGCATCTTGTATTTGCCATTTATTTTATTAATATTTGGGGGATCAGTTTATAATTTAGTCACAATATAAATTCGATCCCCAACTTTTATTACAAAGTTATCTATGCCTTTATAAATGACATAAATGAACTAATAAGAAAATATGACTATTTTTGTCAGAATTAAAAGCAAATACAAAGTGGTTATTAACATATGCAGAATTAATAAACAAAAATAAAATAAAATTATACGTTTTATAATAAACAAAAAGGAAATGGCCGTTATATGATTCACAACTAAAAACAAATACAAAATGGCTATTTTCTGATGCGTCATCTATGTAATTCAAACAAATTTAGTTTTTTGTGCCTCTTAATATTAAGGGCAGCAAAAATAACCAGTTGAAAATCAGCTAAATATTAATAAAAATTAAAATGTTTAATTTCTATAAATTCGAATAACTGGATATGATTAAGTCTTTCATTAATCAGACGAGAAAAATAAGAAAAAGAAAAACCTATCAAGAATTAATAACAATGTTTTATTTCCGAAATTTGAACCACTTGAAACCATTAAGTCTTTCATTAGTTTATCAGCAAAAATAAAATGAAGGAAAATCCGTTAAAAATTAAATTCATAAGAATGCTATATCTCAATAATTCGGAACTCTTGAAATTAAAACGTCTTTTACTAGGCAAACGAGAAAATTAGATAACAAAAACGTCAAGAACGAATAATAATATCAACTTTTCTTCTAGGAAATTCGAGCCACTTGAGAATATTGTCTGTTGACCTATAGAATAAGGCGGAATGAAAAATAGTTGTACTAGGCGTAACAGCAAAATTGTCCAAATACTGTAACAGCAAAATTGTCCATTCGTTAGATTAAGTGTTGAACCGCTGCATCTTAGAAACGATTAAAGATATATTACTGGAATTCTCCGATGTTTTTATAATATTATTGGACTCTACTGTAAGCAATAAGAATGTATAATTACTCTCCAAGCTTAACAGAAGAATACTGATGAAATTGATCATAAACGAAAATATTCATGATTAATTAATCATAGCTAAGGATCGGAAGCTCATGTAGGATTGAAATAAAGTTCAAATATATATATATATATATTATTTCAGGATTATTTTCCAACTTATTCAAGATAATCTACGCCCTCTCTAAACTTCTAACTTTCTGTCCTGGAGTAACAAATTGCCTCACAGGTTTCACGTACGATTTCATTTTCAAGCTTTTTTTCACTGCTCTTTGGACTGTCATAGCTGAAACTCCTCTCTCACGAGCCAAACGTCTTATGGATTGAGTTGGATCTTTTCTAATGGATCTATTTTGCTCCCAGTTGAAATGATGATCCTACTTCCTGTTTAGCTCCTGATGTGCTTTTTCTCTCTACTTTTCCCTTTTTCTTTTAAACTTATTCACCGTTCTCATAAAGGTTTTTGATTTGACTTTGAAAATGGAAGCCAGTGTATAAGTTTTGGTACCATTACTGAAGCTCTGGATGATCTTTTTCCTCCCACTATTTCTCATTTGGGAAGACAGTAGGGCTGACACATTTTAACATGTTCAATTTCTAGCTGAATAATCCAAAGTATTTTTCAGTGATTCTTACAAAAATGGTGTCGAGATGGCTAAACGTTTTATCTGAAAACCTGGAAAAAAAGAAATGTAATTAGTTTAGTGATTTCTTTGATATTAAACATTTTGTTGAATTGACAATTATGCTGTAACACGATTTGGAAAATTTTACTATTACATCCGGTATATAAAAATTCATATAACTTATAACATTCTTTCTTTCGAATTCAATGTTTTTATAATAATTCGACCATAATGTCTTAAGTGTTCACTTGTTCATTCAATACTCATCATATTGCTAATTGCGCATGCTTATCCGGGATTTTACATGGTCTCGTATATACGTGTTACCTAGATTCAGTTGAACATTTCAAGTATTATAGGCGCCAGTCGCTGCCACTTCAACATTATCTTATCTGCCATTTTCGCTCCCGTTCTCAGAAAACATCGCCTGAACATCCCCATTGCAAAAATGTATCGTAAGTTGAGAGCGTCATCTATTATTTGGTCTGTTCTCTCAGCAAAGAACGTCTGATCGGTCGGGTGACACTGCGAGACTTCTCAGGTTGGTAGCTTGACCTTGAAAAGAACTGACGAAAATAAAACAAAAGCGAATTATTAAATGCATAAAAGAAAGGCAAGAAAAAAAAGGAGGAGAACGAAGCCGTTTACGAAAGACGAAACCGAAAATTATAATAGATGCATAGTTATGCGTTTGCACACAAGGACACACGCAAAATAACGAACTGAACACGATATATTAGCGGGTGTCAGTTATACCGTGTATATATGAGTGTGTGGGAATTAGGATTTATTACGACATGAAATGTGCATAAGAATTTAAATGAATCAATATATCCACTAATATAGTTATATACACACATGCATACACACACACACATATATATATAGATATACTCAGCCACAGACAAACTGTTTCGCTGTATCACAGCTCAACAGTGTGGCTAGACATCCGACTGCTTCAAGCAGGGATTGACAAGATTCGGACATTTTTCGCCTACGCCATCAGCGGACAGTTGAAAGAGAGGCAAATTTTTACGTACTTATTCTATGAATAAACATGCCAATGACTGAGAGAGCTCAATTCAGGGAAAGGGAAGAGCCTTGTAATATTAGTAGTAATAGTCATTGTTTACAAATTCGTACTTATCTTCCAAGAGTGCACAACCGAATTTAAGTTTTTCATGTGTGTATATATTGTCTGTATCACAGCTCTTTACATACTCCTTTCCAAGTCAACACACATAAATATAAAAATGTCCAAAAAATTAGAAAATAACGATTAAATTCATAATCTTCTATTATTTAAAATATAGAATATATAAATCAATCCTAAACTAAAATAATATAAATATTTATTACATTATAACAAAAAGTCAACAATACCCTTTACTGACTGAACTGACATCTCATTTTAACAGATATATTTACCAAAATTACACAAAAATATCTTGAAATATCTTGAAGTACTAATCAGTAAATTTATTCCATAAACGTCATTGGCTTCAACCACTGCCTCCAGACGACTTCTGAATCTCCTGCAACTCTTCTGGACGGTCTCCTTGTTTATTTTGGTGAATGCTACCATAATGCTTGCCTTCAGTTTATCTTTAGTGTTACAAAGAGTTTTGTTAGTCTCTCGCTCAACATATAACAATAATTAAGGGGGTTGCAGTCTGAGGAGTTAGGTAGTCAGATATAAGGGGTGATGTAGTCACGTAAATTGACTGAGAGCCATGAATAGGCTATTCTGCTTGTGTGGCAAGTTGCAGAGTCCTGTTGCCAGACACAGAGCGGCCACTGTCTTGACCCAGTGGAACACTTCCTCCTCAAGTGACTTGATATAGGCCTCTATTGAGTCTGAGGAACTGTGGTAAGATGAATGGAAGCATTACCGCAATGTTGCCATCAATAGTGATCACTCCAAACACATTCGTAATCACCATTAGACTCATCAAACTCTTTCTGAATCCTCTGCACTGTCTTCAGGTTGACACCCACCCTCTTTGAAATACTCATATTGGAGTTTGCGGCACGAATGTCAAGTAGTAAAGCATACCGTTTCCAAATTTCTGATGGAGTAAATTGCGTCATGGTGCTCTTTTTCTCACAGATGGTGTCCAACTGAGCCTACTATACTGTGAAGTCGAAAAATCAAGAACAAACTATGCGCATGCGCTAAATTAAAAATATAAAATGGCGACAAATTAATGATCGTATATATATATATATATTTATATATATATATATATATATATATATATATATATATATATATATATATATTAAACAGACAAAACCGCACATTTTCCTTAAAAAGGTAACATTTTTTCAGCAAACGCCTCATCAGAATAATCGTTAGTGACTAGTATAATGTTACCGAGAATCGTGTGATAATAGACAACTAGTCGCCAACGATTCTTCATGTGAGTAGTTGTCTGAAAAAAAGGGAAAATATGCGATATTGTCTGTTAAAAAGTATACACACACATATATATATATATATATATATATATATATATATATATATATATATATATATATATATATATATATTCCATCGGGCGCATACACATACATTATATATATATATATATATGTGTGTGTGTGTGTGTGTGAAATACTACGAAATCATGTACGAGGAAATGAGTAGGTGTGGGCTTTCGAGGAGCTCTGAACGAAAGGATGGGAATTCTTCAAAAGAGTCATTGAAACTAGCTAGACAGTGACGTTCGCTAGCCGAGTGGTTCTAAAGCACGCCGTATGAGACCGTGCTTTCTCCACTAAAGGGATGCTCATCCAAACACTGCTGGAGATACATTTTTCCTCATTAAGTCTCTGGAATACGCATACCGATTGTAGATGTAATTCATAATGTTTTAAAAAACAAGGCGTTTACTCAATAATGGGTATCTGAAAAATAATTTTTTGAAGTAGCAGGAAATTATATATATATATATATATGTGTGTCTATATATATATATATATATATATATATATATATATATATATATATAATATTTGTAAGGTTTTAACATTCCCAAATTGATTGTTTTAATATAATA